GCAGGATCACTCCTTGACCTTCTCACGCGTGTGTGTGTGTGTGTGATGGATACAGTGATATATCGCGACCACAAGATGGACAACGTGGTGGTGGGTGCCGATGGGAGGGTGCGCCTCATCGACCTGGGGTGCTTCAAGGAGATGGGCGAACAGTGGTACCCCGCAGACCTGAACTCAGTAAGCAGACAGACACACGCGCAATCGCAAGAAAGCGACGCGCACGCATGGCCGTTGTCTCTCATTGGCTTGGTTCCGTCGGCTTGTGCAGTGGGTCCGGGGATTCCGGCGGACGGAGGTGCTGCTGAAGCAACAGTACGGCCTCAAGGCCGACATCAGCGCCCTGGGCCAGCTGTTGTTCTGGACCGCATACGAGCGCTCGCCCTTTGGCCAGAGGGTGGTCAACGGGCAGGCGGTGGACGTGGCCAACAATGCTGAGGCCTTGCGGGAGATGATAGATGTGTACGGCCCGCCCACACCGCACGGAGGGATGTGGCGCGCCGACGCACACCATCAGGCGCAGCACATCCTCGTAAGCCAGGCAGAGAGGCAGAGGGAAGCCAAGGACAGATATGTGTGGAGACACACGTCCCTGGTGCCTGTCTCTGTCTCTCCATTTCGTGCAGGGGCAGGTCGGTGGCCAGGTCAAGACGGAGCAGGAGGTCAAGGCCGAGCTGGAGGCGCGCATGACGGCGCTGCGACCGCAGCTCAACATCACGCCGGAGGAGCTTGACTTCTTCTACCAGTACGCACACACCACACACAAACGCCAATGGCTTGCAGACATCATGAACTCACTCCCCTTCTTTCTGTTCGCTGGTGTTTGTCCATTTCAGTGCATTGCACCACAACCCCGACACCCGCTACAGCGCCGACCAGCTCTCCGCACACCCGTGGCTGACAGGCGCCCCTCTGAACCCGCCACCTGCCCCGCCCGCACCCCTACCGCCGCCAGCGCCCATCGCCCCACTCGCCCCACCGATCCTTCCTCCCCCCGCTCTCCTGCCACTCATCCCACCCCCAGCACCGCCCCCACCCTCACCCCCAGCGCCCGTCGCACCACCCCCTGCCGTCCACCAGGGCAACCGCAAGCGGAGCCGCGAGGAAGCCGCTCCTGTGCGGGCTTCGAAGCGCATCGCAGCTATGCAGCAGCAGATCGACCACACTATGAGAGACATGAACTACGCCAAGCTGACTGCACAGGAGGCGGCGGGCAACAGGAAGCGTCAGAGGGAGGCTGTGGAGATGATGGAGGACCTGCTGCCGCCCGAGGAGAGGGACGCCGGGGTGAGGAAATGCCCGCGGCTGATGGAGAAGCGGCTGCTGGGAGAGATGGGATCCTACGTCGGCGTCACGGCCCAGGAGGCGGACAGGCGGCGATCGAGGCAGAGGAGGAGGGTGGCGGTGGCGGGAAGAAGGAGATAGATAGCATAGCCTCCTGTCGCAAGCAAGGGGTCGTAGTCGGTGGTGGACCGTGAGCAGAGGCCGTCCGTCAGTGGTGGGGTTGGCGGGGTGGATGGGCCGCAGACAGACCAACAGACAGACACATAGATAGCTGAATCGCATTCGTAGCTGGTCGGTTGGTTGGTTGGTTGGTTGGCTGGTCGGTTGGTCGGTTGGTCGCTTGGTTGCCGAGAGAGCAGACGGCTGCAGACAGAAAGGGATACATCGCATCGCAGCCAGTCGAGTGAGTGCGGTGGTGAGCGGTGGACAGACAGAGAGAGAGATACGATAAGGAGGGAGGGATGGAGTAGCGAGAGAGACAAGGAGCAGTGGAGGGAGGGGCGGTGGACAGACAAGTGATGAGGATGGAGGGAGGGGGGGTGGATGGAGCATTGGAGGGAAGGGCTTGCTCTGTCTGTATCGTCTTTCTGTCTATCTCTCTGTCTTACGTGTGCCTTCTCCACTGCGCTGATCAACCGAGCGGCTCCATCTAGCTGTCCTGGTGCGCAGTTAACACACAGCACACAGCACAGAGGCCTTCATGTCTGCATCTCTCTCTCTGGTGTCTCTGCTCACTCACTCAC